ACTATGTCTTACCTGGACAATCAGTTCCATGGGGCTTAATGAGCGACTAATTTGTACACATACGCCTTTTTGGCTAAAATTTTATTTTGGATTTAACAAAAAAAGATTTTTTTGTTTTTTATTTTTGTAGAAGGGGGAAAATAAACTAATTGCGCTAATAATTGGAAACAGGCGTAAGCGGCAGTTTCGCCCCTTTACGTAGGAGCCATCGAAATTCGTTGCCACCTTCAAATAAAGTGGGCTCCGACTACCTCACTCACTAGAAGTGTAACACTTCTACTTTACGCCGGTCTTTTGTGAGTTCGTGGTAATTACCCGGACGGACGATGGACCTGCCCATTCGTGCAACAGTTAAAACCGTTGCTTGGCCCTACCACATATAACCGTGAGCCTACAGCTCGGTTGCCACCTTCTTACAAAAAATAATCTCTCAGTTTCTGTCTTCTTTAAAGTCAGTGCACGTGCTCTCAATCGACGCAACGACAGATAACCGAGTGCCCTCCCCCAGCTTAATAGCCAAGACGCGAACAGTCAATTTGTAAGAGGACGGCAAGGCAGTAAGTAAGTCATCGGGGGCGTCATTTCGTCCCTTATCGCAGCATCTCGGGGCTAACATGTGTGATTAAGTGGGTACACGGTCGCGAGCCTTTAGGCGTCTCGACCATTTAATTTTACCGTTTAAACATTTGTCCGCTCTGTAAAACATTTGATTCGCTCTCAAATTTTAAACAATCGCCATATATTAAACACATTACCTTGATGACTCCGTGGCGCAGTTGCCAAGGAGGGCTATTGGCTTCAGCGTCGGGGGTCGTGGGTTCGATTTCCACACGGGACTACTTGTGTGACCCACAGATAGTTGTTTCGCATCTGGGTGTTTGTCCACGTGAAATGTATGTTTGTAAAACATCCGTACAACACAAGATAATGTTATCCTATTGTGATGGCAATGTTTCTTTAAAAAATGTGTAAGTAAAGTATGAAAATTTAATTACATTTACGGCAAAATGTTTGAGAGAAACTCACGAAAACTCAGTTTCCTTCAAGTTAGTAATGACTAGCTTTCAAGTTAGTAATGTCGTGATAGCTTGTGTTGGTAGATAATGCTATAATCGCGCTTATCGACCAACACGCTGTCGTCTGACTAAAACAAAAACCTATGCAAATTTTAGATCTGCATTTTATTATTATATTAATTCTATAGCAAAAAATGGCCTGCCTTTGTTACAATGACTTAGAAAGGGTGGAAAATTCAAGGTGGCTCGTGGTTCTAGGCACTTCTAACAAATGTTGTATATAATTGCTTTGCATCCAAATTACAAAAACTACTAAATCAATGTGTTTTTAAATATTGTTGTAACTCGGACATGTCAGAAAGCGATTCGGTTCGTAAGACGAACAATGCACCAAACTATCGCAGCTTCGATTTATTTTTAGAAAAGTTGTTCATGATGCGCGAGCTCTTTTCTTGATTGTTTCATGACAGTTTCGCCGCACTGGATAAGTTTTTTCTTCTATCTGCATTTTTAACTTCTGTGTTGTCGTTCTTCGGCCAACCGTGGGACTGAATATTGTGTTATTGCTTTTGTTATCAATAAAAATTACTTAATTTTACAATAAATTATTTCATAATAAATAGTAATCTTATACTTGTATGTGCACTGCTGGGATAGGCTAAAATTATTCTATTGGGTATTAGGGTCAGATACTTCCATGGGCATCCATGACGCCTCTGGGGTTGCCAATTCGTTACCAATCTTGATAAACGTGGGCGCTGAAGTATAACACTTTCACTTCACGCTGGTCTGTATTTGATTTAAATTGGGAAATACCTTATATATCCCAATTTAAATCGAACAAGAAATTCAATTGGCTCTCGGCTCATATTCTTATTTCTTATTTACGTTTTTAAGTTCGGGAAGCGCTTAATAGTTGTTCCAAATGATAACCTGGGATATTCAATTTACTAGCTAGACTCCACAGCGTCACTCGGTCGCTTATAAATACACCACAATCAGCAAACATCGAATCAATTGCCGGTGACCGCGGCTAGTCTAGGCGTCACTAAATCAACGTCAAACATAATTAAGCCGCTAACTCGGATACGTAATCGATTGCGCGCAAAACAATCGATTATAATCGAGAGATCGATCATCGATGCGAGCGAGCGGGCCGGAGCCCTATTGCGCCCTCATTACTATACGGGAGCCGGCAGCAAATCAAGCGACGGACAGACAGACAGACGGGCGGACTGCGCACAATAAGATATTTACAAGCGGGCACCAGATATACGCTCATTGTGATGTTGACAGGCTCGTAGGCACGCGGGATTGTAGGGAAATTTTTCGATCGAAGCAAATTTCGGGCCGTCTCCCTTTGCTTTTAAGAACGATGTTAATGTTTCAAAAGTTATGTAAAAGCTATCCTAATGGAAAGCGCTTACTGTAATGTCGAAGAATACATTGAGGACAAGGATGTGTGGAAATGGCTCTTGCTGTGACTCGCAAGTGCCCTGGCTGTTGCTGAAATAATTTTGTGCACCAGTATAGTAAAAAAAAAAAAACATAACCGCAGAGTTTCTTGCCGGTTCTCTTCTAGACAGGTCTAGTTTAGTGAACCGGTGGTAGTTTTTGACGTTCTATTAGGGATTAAAACAATCCTAATATATCGAAAAAAGAAATATTGACTTTGATAATAACAGCGGTAGCGGCTGATGAGACCTTCAAGGTTGTGTTTTCGGAGTTTTGTTCTTGTTTAACAGAGTTATCTATAAACACTTTAAGATTAATAGGTTACAGTAACCACATTTTTAATCATTGAATAAAACTTGGCTGTTATATCACGTAACACATTGAGTTAGATGAAGTCTTAAAATCATTATAATTTGACAGGCGATGGTCTTCTATAGATTATTCCATTACTTTGTCGAACGCATTGAATGATTGTAAGTAGTAACTACTTCGATTGGATTTGAAATGTATGCGGGATGATCCAGAATCAATCTCGCATAGTAAGACCTGCCTGATCGAGATCCATTTGGATTATTGCTGCCGGTAAATAAATTGACAAGTGGTACAAGACAATGGTACATGTGATTGTTTAGTTAGAGAAGTTAGCAATAAATTTTATTTGGCGTCATAATTATGGTTACCGAACATTTACGAAATCAATGGCATAGGTGCATTAACAACTTTATAAGAGGGCTTTCAGGCTGCCTCATTCAAAGTAAAAGGATTCTACTTCTACTTCACGCGTGTCATCTATCTAGGTTGTTCCTTACTACTAAGCGATAACTACTTGGTGTTGTTGGTTGAAAATATGTGGTTACCTTCATAGGCACTGCATATTTCCGGCTCCTAGATTCGAAGTGCAGCTTAAACCTTAAACAGAACATCGTTAGCGGTATAAGAATTAACTTTTTAATTTTCATCCCTCAGTCAGGCTTATGACATCTCTTTTGATCCTGTTGGCTGGTCATCGGATTAACGCAGAAAATTACTTTAATCCTCTCAAGCCCGATTTTCTAAAGGTTGTCAACGCATCTGCAATCCTCGGGTTTAGCAGATATCTATTGGCGGCGGAATTCACTTAACATCAGGTGAACCGTCTGCGCGCTTGGCAACTTTTCACATTAAAAAAAACCGCTACTGTTTAAATTAACAAGCAATTGTATTGTGTGTTTACAAACAATTGTATATTTTAAATACTTTGAAATGTAAATATTCCAGCTCTTATTTATTCTACTCTTATTATTTATTCGTATGGATGAAAATTGGAAGACAGACTCGGCTGGCACAATCGGTATCTGATAGGTCGTTTTCCTAAGAAGGAAGGGAGAAGTATTTGTATAACCTACATATATTTGTTCCGGATTTGGATTTTGTGTCTTCGACCCAGCGTTGTCCTATTCTACAGTAATGTTAATAAAATAAATTAAATAAATAAATAAAAACCAATAAAGTCCAAGTGAATAGAGGACGAACACATAAACACATAAATTATATCGTATTAAATAACGTATTATTTTTACTTAATAAAGGTCGATGAACTACAATCGATTACGGATCGTAGCAAAGGTACAATAGATTAAGTTTTATGAAAATTATAAACGAATAATCTATTGCATTGCTAACAATTCTCTAACCTGCATTCTGTATTATTTTTCTGGTTTTTCGTATGTTCATGTGATATGAAACAGATAGGTACATAACAGAAACTTTATATGCACCAGGGATCGAAATAATATTCAAAAACAATATTTGAGAAAGAGAATTTTCAAAAGGTCAACACAAATGGAACCCTAGGGTGTAACGGATGTCCATGGGCGGCGGTATTCACTTACCACCGAGGCGAACCGTCTGCTCGTTTGGCAACTTATCACATAAAAATAAGACTTCCGCTTACTGAGATATTATACCTTTATACGAATATTGTATTTTCGGGGGATTTTTATCATCGGGATCGTTATCGTAGAATGCCAATGCCATTCAATTAGTGCACTTTCGAATCGAAGTCACCACGCAACAGAAAGTAGCACTGTCGCAAGTTATGCACGTAAAACTCCCTATACTAAAACTTGCCGCGAGTCTATCTTTTGTTTCAAGAATAACGGTCACAGTTCACAACTATTCTATTTCAAAGTATATGCCTCCTTAAGAGGCAGAATAGTAACACACTGCATCGGAATAATCAATATTTATCCCCCATCATGATGTCACCGTGCCGTTTAATTGAGCGATGTCAGAGGGGCGCGCGGTCAACACAGATTCGTGACATGACTTCACGATAGACCGCCATTACGTAACACCGAGCTGAATCCCATTTAACAAACTGACCACTGGCCGCGTCGCCAACACCATTACCACTCATTATACCCAATTCATCTATGAATATGAGCCACGATTCGATTCCTTAATTCGTTTTTTTTCCCCGCCTCAGTCACGACGCCGCGGCTATCTTAATGATGCTCTATATCCGACTAAATCGTGCCCGGGAACCGTATGGAATTCGTCGTGTGCCGGCCTCCCGTCTTCGCCGTTCGTTTCGGCGCCAAAACGTCCGAAAGCCGGTGTGTTTTCAAGAGAAACTCTGCCGAATCCGGCATCGCCAAGGGCCAATATCGCGCGTTAGTCCGGTAATAAGCCAACAGTGCAATTCTTATCATCCGCAGGCGGACTGTCGCCAGTGGTGGGCTCGGGTCGGTTCGATTTTGCTTCTATCGCTTCGGTTCAACGGTCCGAGTTGATTTTCGTCGTGCTGTCATTACGCCCTTCTGCGGTTCGGCGGTGGTGAGTTCAGCACGTGGTGATCAGAGCGCCGCCTTGTATAGAAGTCGCGCGCCCAACGCGTGGCAGGGCTGCTTCTTCGTCATAAAAGGTTAATTGCTGACGAAAAACTCATTGAGAGGGTCGGAGAATTCCACCCGGTAAGGCCACCGCTAAAGTTTCGGGTTACGCATGAATATGAATGGCGGCCGGAATTGTTTAGATTCCCGCGCTTTTTCATTTTCGACATCACCGACCGTGGGTGTTCGGCCGTTCTGGAGAACAGTGATGCTAATTGGCGGTTGGAATTTTTTAGGACTTTATTAAGGATGGCCCATGACGCGGGCCCATGAATAGAGACGTCTATATCTTGCGCCTTATTTGAATGGGAGAGATTGGCATCGCCGCGGGTGGTATGGACAGATATGGTAATCAATTAGGCTTTGTTATTAATGCACCCATTTACACGAGTTCAGTCGTTTTTATATCAACAGTTATTAACATTATTTAACAGGTTTATCATTGCGTTGTCAATTAATTGTTATACAAATTTAAATATTACATTTAACATTTTTATATGCAAAACTGTTTCAGCTGTTTCCGAATATTATAAAATTCATAGGTGATCTAGAATAACTTATTTAGAAATAATGAAATGATACCGTTCAGTTTTCATTGAATAGAAATCAGTTTGAATATACTTATGCCATTTTATAATATACATTGCAACCTTTGGAAGACATTGATTAGTGGATGGAACGTTAGACTCTTAATCAAGAAGGCGCGGGTTCGAATCCTGGCAATTACGAAAAATTTTGCTGTAGCTTTACCTACACACTTTTTGTTAAAAGTGTTTATCCCTGTTGTGTGTACACAATGTAAACACACACACACACAATAGGTGTGTAATAACTTACGGTGTAAGAAACACAGTAAAGAAGTTATTTGGAACGATGTGAAAGGCGCCGAGTACGTCGCCATCGTAGAGGTCAAATCAAGGACATTAATCTTAGCACGGGCTTCGAAGGCAACTCATATGACCAGCTGTTGTGACTCCTGGAGCACGTGGTCGAATAACATTAATATAAATTTACGAGGGCTTAGACGGTTTGGCGGCATTGGTTTGGAACATAAACGAGACAGATTGTCTTATATAAATCACTATCTGCATCATCTGATTCAACAACAGGCCTAAACAGGAAGTGCGTTCTAATTTTGGTGGCATTATGTAGCTATTTTTCGGTTTGGTTTATTTCATAAGAAATATTCACTTATAAACAGGAATCTGGATGGTTTAAAATTCAATAGTGAAGAAACATTAAGAAAGTCGGTCTGTCGGTTTGTACACGCTATCAACCTTCCATTAAGATTTGATTGCCTGCGATTAATTATCTGATTTGGAAAACATATTTATGTATAATATGAAACAATAATAATAATACCGCCCGCATCGTCCGCCGGTTTCTCTCCCTTTCGCTTTAACCCTCGGCCGTTTGGTCTCGCCTACCTAAGGTTTCCGTCTGGTCTGTTTCTTTTTGTATATATATACATATATATATATATAATACTAATAAACTTTAAAAAATATATATAATAGATATATATTTTTTTAAGTTTATTAGTTCTGCTGAACTGAATATAATCTAGAATGATCACATAAGAAATATAGATATAAAGAAAAGATTGCATTCTATACATAGTGAAACACAATATTACATTGGGTACAAAGGTTTATCTACTGACTACTATTAAATGGTTAAAAACAATTAATTTGATAAGATGATAATAATAATAATTAAAATATAATAAATAATAATAAATAATAAATAATTAAATAATAATAATAATTATTATTATTATCATGTTATCAGATTATCATTCCTCTGATCTCCCTCTATCAGACTATGATCACATATAATGATCTACCGAAGTTCAGTGAAAACTATGAGAAAGCTGCTGAGGCTTTAAAACATAAAGAAATATTTAACGATGTTAACAACCTAGCTGTAACAACCTAGCTAGCGTTCGCAGACCCCACAAACAGAGTCATCAATTCTGCCGCTCGTAAATATTTATATGAGAAGCGAAAAGGTCTTGAGACATAAACGCCATGTCTAATGCATTAAAAGGGTATTCCGCCCGAAGGTTAGAACGGGTAAGCTTTGAAAAACCTAAGAAACCTATCAACACGCCTATAAATAGGCGGGAATAGTGAGTGTTTGGTGCCTGCCTACTGCACTGAAATATTTTAACGGCCCGCGTTGCCATTTTGGGCCGTTCTACTAGTCGTTTAGGATCGAAAATTGCGTGTACGTATTGACAGGTCGTAATACTTGCCTGACAGCTGTGGACCGCATACGCACCAACATTTCTGCCTTACTACGATACCGGCTTATTCTGGGAGCATCGTAATGTGAGAAAGAGATGTTGATTTTGCTGATGAGATTAAAAATTGTTCAGCACATAGCAAATGTAGCTATTTTTTTTTTGCTATTGGAATTTTTAATTTATGCTATTGGAATTTTTAATTTCGTAATCATAAGCAGCCTGTAGGGCTAGACAATTCACGTCTAAACGCATATTTAGTTAATCAAACCCATACAGCACTATTATATTATCTAATATATAAAATTCTCGTGTCACGGTGTTTGTAATTGAACTCCTCCGAAACGGCTCGACCGATTTTCGTGAAATTTTGTGTACATATCGGCCAGGGTGCGAGAATCGGACAACATCTACTTTTCATCCCCCTAAATGTTAAGGGTGTTCCACCTCAAACATTTTTTTCTACCCTACAAATAATTTATATGACCCGGCAATAACGTTTGCCGGGTCAGCGAGTTTTTTTGTATGATTTATTTTTAGTTATTAGCACATAATTTCTATTCTGAATTCGATTTAATTTCAAATTGCTGTTAGACTGAATCTTTCCTGACCTGGTTTCTTCGAGATTATTTTCCACTACTTAACTAATTAATGCTTTGCAGTAGGTACATGTAGTTTAGTTATATGGAAAGGTTAAAATAGTAAAACTGTAACTAAAACGTAATCATTAAAGGCGTTTGATACACAACAATGGTTTTCAATGGTAATCCTCGTTAAATATAACGCAAGATATTTTTTTCTACCACAATTTTATTACATTTTTCAGCTAACCTTACGTATCGGTCGATTGTTCCTCCGTTTGCACGTAATAAGGACGCGGGGGGGGGGGGGGGGGGGCGGGGGAGACGAATACTTTGGCGGGGGAATATTCGTGTCATGCTCGCAACAATTTGTCCCCGTTTTTCTTCGCGCAAGTCGAACGGTTTTGAGAATCGATTTCGGCGGCGACATGATTTTTAGTGTGTACCCCCGACGCAGCGGACATGTTGCCACGCGGGTTTCTTCTGCCACGTTCTGCAATGGAGCAACCATCGGATGCCACATCGCCCTGGATAGAGAGATATTTGACGCGGCGCACATTCTTGCGCGTCAAGCGATACCCCATCTTTATGGCAACGTTGTGCATTGCGACCGTACGTACCTTTTAAGAACGAATTAACGGAGTACTCTTTGCTGTTATTAAGTTACGCAGAACGCAACTACACGCAGACAATTTGTTTGAGAGTCCTTTAAAAACCTTTACGTATCGGACGATTCTACAGTATTTACACTACCATGCAAATATCCTGTTGTATTTCAGCTTCTATCTACGAATGGTTCACATTTCTTATTTGAATCTGCAATCCATCTTACCTTCTAATCTTTTTTCCAACACCTAGCTACATTACTTCTTCTGCGAAGCAAAATCACTTGTACTATCTATATCTATCTATATATCTATATATATATCTACCGCTTTTTATAAATCTATTTTCGTACACGTATCAACATCTTCGTAAATAAAGCATTCACAGATAGAAGCTATGCGGTTGGAAGCGGGTACACCATCGGCTTTCCACCGCTTAGGTCATGAAACTAAAGTATATGGATCGCAGCACAACCCACACGTGGTGACCTAGCCGCCGAACGTGTCGCACCGCCAATTTGACTAATTCGCGACCGCCGAAGAAACGGGAACGCCGGGAGGAGGCAAGAGGCCGAAAAGAAATCGCGGCGCGCGCCGTGCCTCACAACGAGCAAATTAATTATATCGGCGGTGGTGCGCTGGCGCGGTCGGGGACTCGTTAGGGCCGCGGATTCCCTACGTTGGAGTACGGTAGCGTAGTTTTTTGCGGCGGCCGAGCGACGGACGCCACGCGAATACAAAGGGCCCCGAGCGCTTCCTTGCCCATTTAAGGCGCGGCCCTTACGCGGGATTCCGCCCCGGAGCGTGTGCCCGCGATGCGATGGAACGATTTATATTTATTTATCGCGGCGATCGACCGATGCGTGCGTTCCGCGGCCGCCGATTTCGACTGCGACGCGTGTCCTCACGACGATTGCGCCGAATCCCCTGGAAGCGCTCTCTGAAGAGAGATATAAGTATATGTGGGGTACATATCATCTATCTGTGTACGTTGTCACTTTAAGCGAAAAATTGGTTTATAGATTATTAACTTTCATATAAGATTTACTGTGGACCTTTTTGTTACTTATATTTTGGTTATTTTACAATTGAATACAATCGTTTGTTACATAGTATTATTAATGAAATTTTGCTTTTAACTTTGTAACTAAAACACATTCGATTTAATTAAATCACTTGTGATTACCCTCAAGCGATTTGAAACTATGTATCTAGAGAGAAAAACTCTTTACGTACCGTCGGTAATTAATACAATACATTAGAATTGTTGCGAATATTATACACTTAATTGGCCAGCAGAATATTTCTCTACCTTTTTTTAATGGCATCTCATTAAGCAGAACCACGTAGATTATACCCAGTTAGTAAGTAGTGATGAAATAATTTCATTTTCAATATAATTAGTAAAATGAGGCAGTTTTTACATTGTATGTTACATCATACGCATAAAATACGCGCAACGTACGCATTTACGTCTACATAACGTACATGGGTGGATAAAAATAGTTGTAGCAAGAAAACTATTAGAAGGCAACAGATGGGATCTAGTTTTGCAACGAACGGGAAAGATTCCCGGGGTACCTCAAGGAGCCGATGTGGCGACATACCTCTTCCTTCATATGGCGAACGTGGTTTATGATCGATAGTGATGTAAAGATGATCTATCATCGTGATTGCTATAATTGGTTTTGGATCATATATCACTAACGTAGCTCGCCAGGTGCTTACAGTGTACAAATTGATATTTGACACCATTACGAAATATTTGATACTGCATAACAGTGTACTCCGAAAATTGAAATAGTACCTATCACGTAATGATCGTAATAGATATGATATGTTTTTCAGTTCATATATTTAATGCAACAATGAAATGTGAAGCACTCGACCGATTATATTACAGCAAATCAATTCCATGCCATACAGAAATATCTCTATCGTTTTAACGACGCTCCAACGGTATGGCGATTATTCCTACGGACTCCCCGTCATCGGGTCTACTGCGACCGCGAAAAAAAACCCTCGCATAGCAGCGTAGCGAGACGTGCCAGCGGTAAAAACGGAATTAAAAGGGCGCAATCAGCGCACCAGGAGTAACAAACCCATCGTTATTTCGATCCGATCGATTTTTTTCCCGCCGGCCGCGATGATTATTTACAATTATTATTGTCGCCGGGCAATTATCGGCCGTCACTAGAGTACTAGAAAATACCCGGCACGGTCCGCGCGTCGGGTATCGTTCCCAAGAGCGCGGGGTTCCGGGTTCGCTTCCCCGTAGCACGTGGGAAAATCGCGTGCTATAAATCAGCGCGAGGCGTGCGTTTTTCTCCTATGCGTGCTGCGGCGCGCAGGCTAGCGTATGGTCTGCGATTTTTTCGCCCCCGGTAGTGGAAGAGTCGTTGCGTCGCTTGCATTGCCTTGATTAGGCCCTGTTTGTTTGCTCTCATCGGATTCTTGTTTGTTTACAATTTGTAATTACTTCTCGGTTGCGCTCACACGTCATTTTTCTCGTCCGGATAATGGTAGGATCCAAGCGCTCTTTTGTCTTTGCTATACCCGATTACTGGCATATTAAATTGTTAAAAATCATTTAACATGATAAATATATGCTATATTTTTTGCATGACAAGATCTGTATATAGTATTAATAATCGATGAATTGCACTTGTGTTTATGTTTCGTTAAATTTAATTCAAATTTTCGTTAAAGTTCTAGGTAAGTATTTTACTGAATAATTTAATATAGGAGAAATTAAAAACTTTCTGCTTTAGAGCTCTGGACCCCGTTTTTCTAAGTTTTAAATTGCTATTCAATAGACGCCTTACACCTGCATTTAATATATCATATGCCGACTTCCTAACACGATCATCGGTGGCCATATTTGTTCCAGCCCTCTATAACATTATAATGTGAGTGACATGTGTCAAAAGTGACAGTGACAGGTATTAATCAAACCTGGACACTGTCACACCGTCCGTCAATAGTTCGAGGCCTGTTTTCTTTTTATAACGTAACCTTTATTAACTGAGGTCCTGTGAACGGGGTGTGTATATGCTATACACGTATTTGAATGTGTGTGTAGGCGTACTTAATCTTTATTTATTGTATGTGAGAATATTTACAAGTGTCATCGCTTCTCTACGCTCCCAAAGAACAGGTATATGGGCTGAAGGAAGAAGTGACACGTACAGAAATATTGTAAAGTCAAATGTTAAAATAAAAAAAATAAAAAAATATAATAAATGTTTTGAATATATGTTAGATAATGTTTCACATTATCTAACATATATTCTTATACTTTGCAAATCGCGTAAATTTGCGTTCAAGGCTAAAGTTAAGGAATATGTACCTCATGTGATGATCAGTAGAATGGGTGACGTTTAATATTATGTATATATATATATATATATATATATATATATATTGCAGCTTTTTCTGTTATATATATTTTATGTTATATCATCTATATAACTATATAGCATAGTTCTAATAGCACCTACACTTCTTTCTCTCACCAACTTTCCAGTTGGCTGAAGTGTTTAATAAATAAATAAATAATTCTGATGGCTTGTGATATCTCAAAGTGTAAACGAAATACCGAATAATTACTAAGTCCAAGGATCCGTAATCCATTGTAAACGGATGAGGCCTTTTATCCGAATGTCAGGGCGCTTACGCTCTGTAAATCAGCGTTGAAACCTACACGCGTTTTGCATTTGCATTTAGATGCACGCGTGCGTTTTGTTACACCTTTGTGTAAATAACGAACTGCGCGGCGCGTACCTTTCGGCTTCCCGCCATTTATATTATTTTTATTTCAATAGTTAGTATTTGTACGGTCGGCCATTTTGGATGCGATCGAAAACTCTCGTAGACTATGTTTTAATCTATGGTTTTTAAGTAATTATTTGTTAGTTTTTTATATTATTTGAATATTCTGGCATACCTCTTGTTATTTTTTATTGATTCATAAAGATAAGTTCAGCCTTTGCGATGTGAAGCATATGCGTGCACTCTGTGGCAAAGTGCGATATGATTAATTTGACAAAGAACTCAACAATTCCTCACATACAAACGACAAGGGCTTTTCTTGTTTTTATTTGAAGACTACATGTCTCAAATGCATAGTGAATTTGCCTTTATTGAACTGGTGCTTTTACTATGTATCGCTTAAACTTTTATGCTTTCACTTAAAAATAATATTGGAGAATGGGCGAATCAATCATCAATTTCTATTGTTGTTTCAAAGTCACGTCTCGTCCGGAAAGTGCCACTTCATAGAAAATCTACAAAATCAGAAGTATATTCATACTTTCTGCTTCGTGCTATAGATTAGGTAACCAGAGCCAACCGCAATTCATTGCCAGACGCCCATGAGTGGCAACTCAGCTTCTGACAAACCACCTCTTCTTTCAGCACCGTCTTGCTCATAAAGGGGGACAACGTAACAATAAAAACCTTTGCTGAAAAGCTTGAACAACATACATTTACCGTAATGACGAACTTTAATTATAAACTCAATTATGGACGCTGTGGAGTGAACAATGTATGATAATACACTGCGTTAAACCAACAAACGATCGTTGATTGACTAGGCAATGGATCCCATAAATGCAATTATAGGAGTGATTTAGTATGTATTGCAAACTTTCATATACAATGTGTATGCCCAGCCAGAAGTACTTAATGATGAAATTTAATTGGACGACAGTTTTTTTCCAGTATTGTAGTTATTCTCCAACGTTAAATAACACGATATATCTCGGTTTCACTTTCGTGCCTGGTAACAAACTTATTACTGTGCAAAATGTATGTTTATGTAATAAGCAAAAGTTCCCAAAACTTATACTTAGTTTTTAGCAGATGAGAAGTCTATTGGTGTCGGCAACGAGATTGGGTTCGATTATCTGTGAACCACAGATTGCACCGGGCCTGGATGTCTGTCTGTGTGTATGTGAAATTTATGAATATAAAACATCGCCACAGTGAGAACGAACACACAACTTTTCAATAAGTAGTATTTAACAATAATTGCCTATTTGTTTATGTTGGTGGGTGAGAGAGTCTATCTCTGTGTCCAAACAGACAAATGGTCAAGAGAGCCTGGGGCTGATGACGCTTTACAAGCCGAGGATTTGAACGCGTGAGCATCACGCCACAAGACAAGGGCAGTGACAAATGTTTGGACTATCGACCGGGCCGCATCGGAGTTGCCACGAGCGTCTGCGAGCGCAGTCAGATAGGGCGGCTCGTGATAGGACGGTCTGCCCGCGGCGCATCGACGCCAAGTCTTCCGTTGCCCTTAAATCAGCCGACTGTACTCTGATTTGGCTGCGCTGTCACGATTTCCATTCGGCGCCGCCAAGAAAAACGACGCAGACGCCCGCGCAACAGTTGAAAGTTGCAAAACAAAGACGCCCGCGCAACAGTTGAAAGGTGCAAAACTTTGTTTCTTACTTGAAAAAAAGAAACAAAAAACAGTGACCACATTGACCAGGACAGTCCAAAGGTTGGCTATATCTAAATAAGGATAGAGAGCAGCGAGGATAGCGTAGCGAGAGTCTCGTATTTTAATAAGCTTATTAAGCCGATTTAATAAGATTACTCAGCTGAGTAAAAAGTAAATTAAACCTTCTGAATTACTGGCCATCTTAATCGGATTTTAGGTCTGGTGATTTTATTCTCACCAATTTAATTTACCAAAGAGACCATAATTAATTTTTAATACCTGCATAAATAAGTAAAGTTTAGTGAACGATAACAATTCACGCAACTGATTGGTAGTGATTAAACATAGTGAAGTTATAATAATGCATTATTATAACTTCACTATATTTAATCTATATAAATTTTTAATAAGAAAAAAATAGAACAAAGAAACCGATAAAACCATACGTAAGTTCAAATATGACAAGTGCACGCTCCAGTGCATTGAATTTCAAATCGTGTCAAACGACATCGCACTACGCTGAATAAATCGAGATACACCGGCCCAGGATATTGCCGGCAACCCGTACCCAGGGCCGTGCAACGTGCCCATTTGCGTTCCGATAACGTGCGGACAGTTAGGATCGCGGGGCGTTTTCAGACGTTTCGCAGGGAAACGGCGCGATAAACGGCCAACGATCAACGCCCCGGGCGGCGCGGCTCACTCCCACGTGTCGGCTGCGGTGTAGTATGTAGCTGTCCTTTTTATGTGAAACGAGCTGGCGGTTCACCTGATGCTAAGTGATAACCGCCGCCCATTGACATCTGCAACACCCGTAAGGTTGCAGATGCGTTGCTACCTTTAAATTTTGCCCCGGCTACCTTACTCACCAGACGGAACGCAGATTTGTAATACTTCCATTTCACGCAGGTCTTCTGTGCGGTCGTGTCTGGATCACTCCAACTAATTCACTCTAATGACGCACCCAAAGGCCTTTGTGGTTTAGGTCAGTGTCAGGGCGCGTGCTTTCAAATTCAAATCCCGCTTCCAGTACTGGTGTCTTTAGTTGTAATTTTAAGTGTTGGCATATCACGTACTCTTCTCTCTCCTCTCACTTCCAATTCAATATATACTCGAGCAACCTCAGTTTGATCCGCGGTCGGCACCAATGAAATTGTTAATATTAAGTGCTGACTCACTTGCTTTGCGGTGAAGGAAAACATCGGGAAGAAAAGTGCATATTTTCGAAATAATAACAAAAAAATTATTTCGAAGCTATGTGCAGTCCGCCAATTCGCGGGTGGGGTCGCGTGGTATAATATGCCCACCACGCGACCCCACGTGATATGATATTTTTAAAATATTTTTTGTTTTATTACGAATTTTTGTTTTAAATTAAATGCACTTAATGGTATTTATAGTTTGCTCCAGGCCTTTTTGGTGGCTACATCTTTGATCAATCTGTTAGTTGTAACATACTTAAACGTAACCGAGTGTGAACTATTTATCTAGGGCACGAGAGAGTTCGATTACCATAACCTTTTACTCGTGTATTTTAAATTTTACCATCGGCGTCGCTCCGTATACATTGCCCCTGAAAATTTTCATAAAAGTGATACACAAATTGAATGTATAAAGATAATGAGGCTATGACATGTATCCACCAATTTATCTGTGGTAGAGCCACGCGACGCCAATGGGCCAAACACGACCTCACAGAAAACGAGCGTAAAGTGGAAATGTTTTACTTCCTTTTAATGTTTAGGTAGCCGCCCTTTATAGGTGGCAATGCATCTGCAACCCTACGGTTGTTGTAAATGTCCATGGGCGGCCGTTATCCCTAAAAATCAGTTGCTCGCTAGCTTACAACATTCTCACAAAAAAGACAATTCCATTTTTTGTTGTTGTTGTTTTTGTAAAAATAAATGCAATGACTCTTTACCTAGCGTCTCTGTATATGTCCCACTGCTGGGCAAAGGCCTCCTTTATACAGAGGGTATTAAAGCGTAGTCCACCACGCGACCCCACTGCGGATTTGCAGACTTCACATATCTTTTAAAATATTTTTTGTTTTATTACGAATTTTTGTTTTAAATTAAATGCACTTAATGGTATTTATAGTTTGCTCCAGGCCTTTTTGGTGGCTACATCTTTGATCAATCTGTTAGTTGTAACATACTTAAACGTAACCGAGTGTGAACTATTTAGAGAGAGTTCGATTACCATAACCTTTTACTCGTGTATTTTAAATTTTACCATCGGCGTCGCTCCGTATACATTGCTCCTGAAAATTTTCATAAAAGTGATACACAAATTGAATGTATAAAGATAATGAGGCTATGACATTTATCCACCAATTTATCTGTGGCAGAGCCACGCGACGCCAATGGGCCAAACACGACCTCACAGAAAACGAGCGTAAAGTGGAAATGTTTTACTTCCTTTTAATGTTTAGGTAGCCGCCCTTTATAGGTGGCAATGCATCTGCAACCCTACGGTTGTTGTAAATGTCCATGGGCGGCCGTTATCCCTAAAAATCAGTTGCTCGCTAGCTTACAACATTCTCACAAAAAAGACAATTCCATTTTTTGTTGTTGTTGTTTTTGTAAAAATAAATGCAATGACTCTTTACCTAGCGTCTCTGTATATGTCCCACTGCTGGGCAAAGGCCTCCTTTATACAGAGGGTATTAAAGCGTAGTCCACCACGCGACCCCACTGCGGATTTGCAGACTTCACATATCTTTGAAATATTTTTTGTTATTACATTATGTTAGCAACTATTTAGGTTTCCTCACAATGTCCTTGACCGCTTAGCACGTTATAAGTCAGCACTTAAAATTAAAAATTTCATTGGTGCCGGCACCGGGATTGTCGCAAGTTGGTCGCGTATATTGAATTAAAATATAGTTCACTTCAATTACACAATCACAATTCACCGCGGTAAAGAGCCAGCCCATTGGTGCAGCAGAGACTGCAATAAAACGCTACAACAGTTAAAATCTCTTAGAACCACCAGAAAAATCACTTGATGTCCGCGCAAAGCTCCGCAGAGCTCGTTGTATGGAATCCATAGCGGTCGAAATGCCTGGGGGCGGCACGGCGCATCGATCCGCCGCCTATGATTTTCGCCTCGACAGGCGTTAGTCCGGGTTCGAAACCGTCACGCTCGCCCGTGCAAATCATGTCGAGTTGCTGATATGGACGGAAAGATCTGGTAGTTTTTGACATTTAATCTAATATAAAATAAAAGAAGTGTTTGAAAAATCAATTACTAAGCTGTTACTTGTACAAAATACCGTACCTACTTTGGGTTCTTAGTACTCATTATTTATTTAATTTTTAATTCCTTCGTCAAAGATTTGTTTTGCGATCTATTCTTTCTATTATTAATATATAACATTAAAGTAGTTTTTAAAAGATTTAATAAATATATTAAAGAAACACTTTTTACAGTTATTATAATATAACTGAATACATTTAATGACAACAACCCCTGGGAATGAGATGTTTGCTCCTATGCTGTTTCTAAAAAATATATATATATACTATATATATACTGTATAATAATGTAATTGTTTGAAAAAAAAATTACAAAAAGAAGAGAATACCTACGGAATTGCTTTCGCCTGTTCCTTCTCCGTAAGAGGAACCTCATTAAGAAACGGTGGTTTAAACGGTGGAAAACATTTAAAAAATCTATCGATAGATGAAATGCATATTTCTTACTTCGATGAATAAATGATTTGATTTGATTTGAAAAATCAACTTCTGTTATGTGTACAAAATATCATCTGTTACGTTCCTAGTAGTAGGTAAGTGTTCATTTAATTTCATTTCCTTCGTCTTGTTTTGCAGTCAATTGTTTAGTGTACTACTGCGAACTCTTACACTATGACAACTTTTGTGACACCTATTAAATCCGATCTGCAATAATATACCTGCAGGTCATTCAAATGTTCATCATATACGATCTGTTCTACTCACGCGTAAGATTTGAGCACAATTTCACTCCTTAGACATTTTTCTACCCAAGTAATATTCAGAAAGGTGTCGGTCGGCACCAATCGGTTTGCAAACAGCGTCGCTTTGAAACCAAAGTGGACTCGAGTCAAGATCAAAGGCATCACTCGAGATTTTTCAATGGCTTTAACGTCACCCCTTCTGAAACTGAGGATTGGTGATTTGCTTGGATTCAACCCTATTTAATATTTTAAGATTGTTCGAAGTAAATATTGTATAACATGGACAGTTTAGTCAAAGCTTGATTCGTAATCACTGTTATAATTGTATCGGATTTAGTTGAAAGAAGATTTTTAAGTAGGTACCGAAATATTACATACTTTTTTTCATTATGTTTGTAGTAGGTACTCATTATTTGGATTCACATTTATTTATTTTACAAATCTATGATGCCAACATTTTTCAAAAATTTAAGACAAAACGATATTTTCAACACTCAAATTTTTTAGGCAATAAGTCTTTAAAATTAGTTTTTTTTAATTTATTTTTGAATTGAAACTCAAATGCCCTCATTTATCATTTTATATGATATTAACACCGCAACTCACCTAACGTGCAGTCAAAAAGTTAAAGCCAAAATTCCTTCAGTCAATTAATACTTGAAACCTAACGAAGCGGCTAACAAGGAGACAGAACTTTACGGTGAACGAACATTCGTTGTGATGCTTCCAAAACAGTGACGAAATTTGCTCCAAGGCGCACCTGCCAAGGCATTGGCTTCCTGTCAAGTCCTGTGTTCGATTCCCACACGTGACAACAATTCGTGTGACCCACAGATAATTGTTACAGAGCTGAGAACGAAGTTTATAAATGTCCTTAAAACACCGATATCGTCAAATGCAAGGGGGGAAATATTTACGAAGGAAGGGTTTTTCGTTGGTGGTTCTTACGAAACACAAATACTTTCCACGCAAAATAAAAACAAAAAATAGTGCGAATGCAAAGAGAGTCGTTCGTTTGTTAGACCGAATGGCACCGATCCAGGCAGCGGCGTGAGGTGTCCCGGCGAATAAAGCCCATGACAATGCTCCCAGGCGGGCTCGGCCCACCATTAGAGGGGATTACGCGAGGCATATTAAACGCTGCCTCCGCGCTTTCATCTCGCCGGCCATTGTGCGCCAGAACCGTCCCAACACTTCCGTGTGCTTGGCGGTCGCGTCGCGAAATGGTATAAGTCACTGTAAATTATAATAGTCTACTTGAAACCGATATTAAATACCTCTCGAGGGTGCTAATTAGCTGTGTGGAGGCGTTGATTTGCGATTTGAGATCGCGGCCTCTAATTGGTACGGCGCAAGTCATTTAGTGTTTCGGAATAACTGTCAAATATCTGTCGTTAGGTACTTAATAAGATCCATGGCGCCTAAACAAGTATCTCTGTCATCTTTTAAAGGCATAAATTATTGTTTTTTTTTTAATTAATTTAATAGCACGGAACTCTTTTAGCTTTTTTATTTTTTTATTATTGACTATTACGGTTTATTTATTATTGAATATTACGATTTGTTCGGGATATCTTCGTTGACCGATTATTTCGGGAACAATTGACAATAAACCTTTTTTTCACCTTTAACTGTCACGGAATTTTAGCTATACGTACATACATGTTTTACTTATGTTTGTTTAGCTATTTGTAGAAAAAAAACTATATCAAAATACATAGCTATAAAAGTTGAAGAAGCTTAACAGGCTCAGTGGTTTAGCTATAGACAACAACAGCGATGAAATACAGAATTGTGTTGTTTTTTAATCGTTCCACTGGCAAGCGGGTTCAGAGAGAAGAGATATCAGGCAATTTAAAAGTTAAGGCAATATTTAATGACTCCGTGGCGCAGTTGCCAAGGTATTGGCTTCGGGTTCGTGGATTCCCACACGGGACATCTATTTGTGTGACCAACAGATAGTTGCTTGGCATCGGGGTGTTCGACCACGTAAAATTTATGTTTGTAAAACGTCCTTACTACACAGGATAATGTTATCTTTAGGATAAAGTAAGGGCAAAGTGTTTAAAAAAAACAAACAAAAAAAATGGACTAAAACTCGCAGAAATGATGGTATTGATGACCATGATAATAATATTAAAGCTTTTTTAAATTGAAAACTAAATTGCGAGCTCTATAAACTCATGAAAATGTCGCCTTACAAAAATTTTATATGCAGCTAAATATTTAGCAGTCTTCGATTTTGCTCAAATGAAATTTCTCATGTGTCATCTCTATATATACTTTTGCAATAGTAGTAGTTGTATTTTCACCCGTGTTTCTATATTCGAAGTTATGCGAGGTTTGCCAGTGGGGTCGCGTGATGGACATGGACATCATGGTCTTTGGCTTCATGACGTCATGGACTTCACAGATGAGGCCTGTATCCAGTAGTGGGAAATATTATATAAGTTATGTATCGAGCGGTGTCAGTGCGAATTATAAAAGAAGAGTGTAAAATTCTAAAACCAATTAAAGATAAAAAAATAATGGATACAAGTCTTTAGCAGCGGTTTTATTCAACCATATCAGATAAAACAATTTTATAAAGTCCAACCCTTTAATTTTCTAATTTAATGTAATGGACGAGATGCTTTTAGAAGTTATAATTGATCTGGTATACTATCTACTACTACCACTACTAGTACTACTCTGGAATTTAAGTAAATAACCCTAACTTTTTATCAACTTAAAGTAAAGGCAACGCTTACATAACTTCTTTTAATGTTAATGGGCGCCTATACATACATACGAGAAGTCCAACTAAGTATAAGAAAAATTGCTTAAAAAATGAAACAAAATATATAAAATACGTTGAGATTTTTGTCGATGTGAGAAAAGCCGTTAAGCTTAGTGGCTAGCATTTCGCACGTATTCCGGAGACGGACGCAATTTCAAATCCTGACACCGGCGATAAACTTTTTGTTCATTTTTCTATTTTTTTTATTTCGTCTTAAGTGCAGGGAATAGCATTATAAAAATTAATACCCATAAATATACTCCTAGTTTTTGCTAAAAAACGTACTTAGATAACTTCCCGGCGGGCCCGCGCCAAAACGGACCGCGTCCTGTTATAATGTTATTAACATCAGAAATTACGACACCTCATTGTCCTCTAATCGGTATCAGAATAGATCCCCGGCGGCTGCGTCTCGCAACCAGATATATGACGGACTCTATTAAGCTCTTTCCAGGTCTGCAGCAACATTGTGCGCTTTGATATCGCACACGATTGTCCTGGCACGAAGCTTTAAGTTTGATTGAGGGTCGGTTCTGTGTATGCATACATTAGCAACTGAGTCCCTTTTATCTCAATAACCTTTGATTCAAGCCTCTCACCTGTTTCACCACTGCATGACAATATGGTCTACAGTCTTATGTTATAATATCAAAATAGCGATACTATACATAAGTACCTGGAGGACTTTTTTTGGAGGATTTTTTGATAAATCGTGTATTTTGTAAATAAAAAAAAATAAAAAAAAGAAAGCAATGATCTGGTACAGAAAAAAAGTAAAAATCGTAAGTGTGTAAATGATCGTGATACGAACCGCGGCCTCCTGTTTCAATGCCGCCCGATTACCGACCGAGCTATTATATTTTTTTTTTCGGCGAAATTTACCGTCATTTTTCATTCCCTGAAACCTAGCTAGATCGATTTTTCGCCCCCGAATCTACGCACACACTAAATGTCATGAAAATCGCTGGAGCCGTTTCCGAGATTCCGATTATATATATATATATATATATATAAGAATTGCTCCTTTAAAGGTATTAGATATTTACAGGGCATATTTTTACATAATCTTATCTAGTCCCATACTTAGTAAAGCTTGTACTATGGATACTAACATTTAGATTTATAACCTAATTTTTAAATATTTTTTTTATGTTGCTATTACAAATACTTTACTGCCCTTATCATTATGTCTCTGTATTACCTGGGGTTAGCTTCTAGAGAATGCAATATAGCATTAAGCTCGCCTTTGTATAATTTTTAGTGCAATAAAGATTAAATAAATAAATAAAACATTATCATCATTATTTCAGCCATCTGCATACACCGACTTCCCGCACATTTGCACAGGTCGACACTTCATCTAGTGGGAGGACGAGGCTCCCTCTCGAGAACCTTTCTTTCCCAACTGTTATCGGTTCTTCGAGCTATATGGCTAGCCCACTTTAGCTTACTGAGCCTTTGAGCTTTGTCAGTTACCTATGTTCTGCTGGAAAACATACTTGAACAATTTTTTATTACGTAAATAAATGTATATCTAATATATAAAATTCTCGTGTCACGGTGTTTGTAATTGAACTCCTCTGTAATGGCTCCGATTTTCGTGAAATTTTGTGTGCATATCGGCCAGGGTGGAGAATCGGACAACATCTATTTTTCATCCCTCTACGCAGACGTAGTGCGGGTAGCAGCTAGTTATAGATATATAAACGCCCAGACACTATGTTCTATACACTGCAGTAATGACTGTAAACTGAATGCAGTTTACCAGTAGTGCGGATCGAACCCAATTTCTCTTGCTAAAGAGACGTTTCGAAGATCCACTACAGCCTTCGGCTAAAATGTTGTCGTTTCCACGACAAGCATTTGACAACCATCCGTCAAGTTGGAAGGTTGTCAAATGCTTGTCGTTTCCATGTTGAATGGGAATATAACATTGGATGTAAAGTCCTTCATCATCAGCCTGAAGACCTCCTCTGTTGAGTGAAAGGCCTCCCCTTTAGAACGGCATATTGATCGTGAGATCATATCAATAACTATCATAGACACCGCATATATTTAATGACTTATCAATAATTTATATTATTACTAGATGCTGGCCGCGACTACGTCTGCGTAGAATAGGCCGAAGACGTAACATTCAGACAGAAAGACAGATATACATAAAATATGTATATAAATTATAGTTTATGTCTTATTCTGATATATAAACTATATTATTGTAAAGTTTCATTAAAATCTATTCAGTAGTATTTGCGTGAAAGAGCAACAAACATCCATCCATACATACAAAATTTCGCCTTTATAATATTAGTAAGGATGGTTTTGTAACGGTGATATATTTTGTTAAACGTAATATACAAAGCTAAATAAATAAAATAATATAACGACTTCATATGAAAAGTTAGTTAAAACTAACGAATAAGTTTAAGCGCCGCCAAATTCACAAGCAAAAACGAAATTGAATAAAATACCTAAGTATAATTAAATGTGAATTTAGGCAAATTCTAATGCGACTTTTTAAAGTAAATCTCATCGGTAATTAATAACGCAGTTTCGTCTACCTACTTGTGAAAATGTTGCGACATTTCCGCTAACGGGGTTGTGTTGAATTTGCTGTTTTCCGGTTCCGAATAATTTTAATTGGCGGGCCCGGCCGCCGTGGGGAGTTTGCCGAAATTTTACTTTTTAATTATGCACACCTTAACGACGCAAATTGGAGTTTGAATCGCTAGATGACAGAAATAGACTTTGCTGGGCCGTCTTTGTCGAGGAGTTCTCGGAAGAAAGCGCAAATTTCATCAAGATGGGTGGAAGTCTGTTTATGGCTAAAACAAGTCGATAATCGAAAAAAGTACTACAAAAAACCCGATGTCGAGAAAACTACTTTGGAAACAATTTGGCAAGAACATTTCGGTGCCAACAATATCCAGTTTTTAAAATATATATTTCAAAGATATGTGAAACCCGCTAATACGCAGTGGGGTCTCGTGATGGACTATGGCCTAATATCTGTATTTGATTTTCGTAAATTTTAAAGTTTTTTATAGTGCTAATCTCTGCACTTAAGATTGAACATTAAAACATGTAGAAAAAGTACGAAAAGATTGTCGCCGCTGTGGGAATCGAACCCACGTCTTCGGCTTTCGCGGCCTGGCGCTCTAGCCACTGAGTTAAACGGCTGATAGCCACATTTGATTTTTGTGTTGATGTTGTAAAATGTTATGAGAACTGAAATAAATGAGCATTTAACATAAATTGTGATATTTCTAAATATATATAGAAAAATATATATGCGGTCAATGCTCCGTCATGCACCGTCGTTTTTCATTAACCCCCGAGGTAATAACAGGGATGTTATAAGTTTGACGTGTTCGTCCGTGTATCTCTGTGTCTGCTGCACTGTAGTTTCTAAAGGAATGGACAACATTACAATTTTTTTTTGTTTGAAACCTGAAGGGTCGAGATCGTTCTTAGCTGTAATTCATTTTTTTTGCTTCGGAGATCGGGGGGGGGAGGGACTAAAAATTAATAATTTTATATTGCATTTATCAGTGTCTAGTAATATTAATGTAATGAGCTAT